ATGAATGGACTATGTTATATGATCGATATGTTTATGTTATTTTGGTATATGTCTTATATGTGTTTGGTTGCTTGACTACATCTTATGCCACGAGCCAGAGTGAGATGTTTCTTTCCCTCCTTGTTTTGTGTTGCTCTTCTTGTATGTTGTTGCAAGTGATCTTAAACATAATGTTGAGGATGTTAGTGATAAGGCTTAGTCTTCATAGAAGGGTTATGCTTTGATAGGGCATATGATACCGAGGAATTAGTTAGGACTAGTTAGGATTTGATTTATGTTATTTAATTTGAGTAGTTTAATTTTAATTCGTTTGTAATTTAATATTTTTGCTAAGTCTAGTTTGTGTTAAAATTTGATTCTTTCTACCTGCATGATTTTGAACTTATCTATTATATTTTAGGTTATTTAGTTATTTGATATATTATGTGTTATGGCATGTGAGATAGTAGATGTCACAAGTTGCAACACCAATGGAAAAGAAGACTATCATGTTGATAACATGTTATGAAAGAAAAATAAAGTAAAGAGAACAGACAAGACAATATTAGGTGGAGAAAAGAATCTAACTAATGTATTATTTCTAGGAAAGGATTTAGCCTATTTATAAATACATATGATAGCTAAATAATTACACAAAGAAGATAACAATACATAATAAAACTATAAATAATAATAGTCTAAATTGAATATTAACATCCATTAATTAAGCCACTAATTATTATTCATATCCTTAAAGTATATTCGAACAATTAATATTAGTAAGTAAGTAGTAATGTAATACTTTTACAATATATATATATATATATATATATATATATATATATATATATTATGCATATCGATGTAGATTCTAACATTTAATATTATTAATGAAATAATTTTACAAATTAAATTCATAAATAAATATTTTTTTCTCATAAAGTGTGACACGATTTTTTTTAATTAATTAAGATTTTTGAAAAATATATATATTTATTAAAAAGATATCTCAAATTAAAAATAAAAAATTATATGTGTGTATATACACATAATTTTTTTATTTATTTTGTTTTGAACTCTGGTAATGGATAAAAAAAACATATTTTTTTAATTTATTTTTTGAATAAAATATATTTTTTCAAAATAATTATTTAATTAACAAAAGTGAGTCGCACTTTATAACTAAAATTATATTTACTTATGAGTTTAATTTGTATAAGTATCATATTAATAATATTAAATGTTAGAATCTATGCATATGTTTAACTAAACTGTGGCAGGTTAAATAAGAAAATATATGTTTATTTATATATTTGTAAAAGGATTTCGTTACTATTTATTAATATTAACTATTCTAATATACTTTAATACTTATTTTTAGATTTAATTTCTTTAAATAAAGAAATAGGAACACTACAACAAAATAAATTTTTAGTGGTATTTAATATGATTTTTAGTGACAATAAAAATTGCTACAAAATCTTTTACCGACATTTTCACATCAATCATTGTATGTAGTGTCGCTAAAATATTTATTCTAAATGCTGGTAAAAGCATTTTATAATGATCGGAAAAAGTGCTAGTAAAAGCCCTTTATAATGGTCAGAAAAATTATATAACTTTTTGTGACATTTTTTTACTTTCTAGTCGATGTGAGACTTACATTTTTCCCAATACATCCCTCAAGTTTAGGAAATATTGAGTTTGATAATGGTAAGTAATCTAATACCAACTTAGAATAGTAAGTTATAGGTCTAACTCAATCTTACAAAATAAACTTGAAACATAAGAGTTATCATCCATTTATATACTATTTAATTATCTTATTTCCGGTCAATATGAGACTTAAGTTTTTCCCAATAAATAATTGTTACTAATAATAAATTTTAGTGTAATGTAAATATATTTTTAGTGACCATTATATATTAGTCATTAATATTTTTATTAAATAATAAAATAAAGACAATTAATTTATTATTATTAAATAATTGTTGATAATAATAAATTTTGTTGTAGTGATATATTTGTTACTTAAATACATTTTTATTCCTTATAAAATCAAAATATTCTAATTTTGGTCCTTAATATTTTTTTTTTTTTTTTATGTTTCTAAAATTTAAAATTATTATATTTTTAATTCCTACTACAGTACTACTATCTAACCCTTGATAACTACTTATGTGTTTATTAAAAAATTGTATGACTTTTACCACAAAATTGTATGACTTTTACAGGTGGTAGCCACAACTGTATATGATATTTTATCTGCTGTGACATTTTTAATTATTTTTAAATCCTTAAAATATAATATATATATATATATCTTTAAATCCTCCCTCTTATACTTGTATAAATGTAACATTTTCTTCAACACCTTGTACTTACTTCCATACATTTTTACAACTTGTAGTGCGGCAAAGAGGACGGAAGAGGACCATGGTTGGATGAAGCTTTCTGAATTTTGATTTCATTATTGACATATAAAAGAGATGACAATTAATGAATGTTACGTGATTTATCTTTATGTTTTCTCTCTATTTTCGTATGAATTTAATTTATATACATTGTCAATATAAACTATTTTTATGCAAATATCCAATAAGATTTGACCATTTTACCACATTATCTTATTCATTAATTGGGTGAAAACATTCAATGACCAACTATTTCTAGGCTTAAATGTTGAGTTTTTTGGGTGAAAAATAATTCTACGCTTAAATATCGGCATTTTTCGGGGGGTGGAGGATATTTCTAGGCTTAAATTTTGTCTTAAAACATTTCTAGCTAATTAAATATTACTAGGGTTAAATATTGATTTGTTGAATTTCCAATATTCAAGTTATACATAAACCAACTTCTGATTAAATAACGGATGAATTGTGGATGTTACAAGTTCGAATTGTTCTGGCTGTCATGAAAATGATTAGTTTGCTAGAAAGGAAAAGGGATGATGTAATTTAAATAAGTTGTACCTGAGATAAATCTAATATAAAAATAAAATAAAATGAGTCTGTTCGGATAACGTAGAAATGTTTCAGAGTTTCTCTATTAGAAATAAAATACTTTTAGTAAAGAAATTCTTAAAATACTTTTTTGAACTTGTATTACAGGTTTAATAATCTGTTAATTAGTGATGCAGATCTCATATAAGAGATCAACAATAGATGATTTTCAAAATGGGGAGATATTTGGCTAGAACAAGGATCAAGAAACTTCAAGAAGATTTTACTTAAAGGCTCAATCGAACAAGATAAGCAATGATTACAATAAAATAGAAGGGAAGGCTCATTAATTGGAGTCAAGTTGAGGAAGAAATCAAGTCGATTGAATCTGTAATGGCTCTGACAAATTTGTACTACATGTACTCCTTGCGACAACAAAAAAATATTGAGTGGGAAAGAATGTGTCACGATCGAGAACAATTCTGTCATGTATGTGATTCTTGCGACAAGAATAATTTCTTAGTAGGGTCACTCACAGTTTTGTTATTTTTGGGCCTATTGGACTTAAGTTGCTACTTAAAACTTATTTATACTCTTGTACATGTTCGTGTAAATACTCCTTGTAAACACTTCTTAGTTGATTAACTTTGGTTAGTTAGTGTGGTTAATTAACCATTATAGTTAGTTTTATTTTAGTATGTATAAAAGGCAATCTCTCTAATTGATTTCATTATTATTCATTCACAAAAATCATTCAATGAAAATTATATTGTTTCTCCTTTCTTCTTCTATGAGATTTCTTTCTCAAATACAATCTCATTGTTTTAATGACTGTCACCGTATTTGATATGGTGTCAGAGCTCTGTTGCATTGCTCTTATCCTTTCTTGATTTGTTTTGAGTTGTTCCTTTCTTGTTTCGTTGTTCTTCAATTGTTCATCATTTTGGTTTGTTCCTTTCTTGGTTCGTAATCTTTCTCCTTTCCAATTTCATTATTTTCTTGGTTTGTATACCTTCTATTTTACACCATGAGTGGGAAGGAAGATCGACAAACTCCATTGAACCAATCTTTAAATGTGCATAGCCCATACTACTTGCGTCCAGGAGATAACCTTGCTATTTTATTGGTCTCACCAATGTTGGATTCGAGCAATTACAATTCTTGGAGTACATTGATGATTATGACGTTAACCATGAAGAACAAGGCAAATTTCGTGGATGGTTCTATTCAATGACCTACGAATGATAACTCGTTACATACAACATGGAAACGAAGTAATAACATGGTTATTTCTTGGTTAGTGCATTATGTGTCTCCATCAATTCATCAAAGTGTCCTTTGGATGGATGATGTGAGAGATATTTGGAAAGACTTGAAATCTAGATATTCACAAGGTGATTTGTTGCGAATTTTTTAGTTGCAACTTCCATGTGACTAGGTGATAAATCTGTCTTTGAGTATTTCACTAAATTGAGAGTGATATGGGATGAACTTGAGAGTTATAGGCTCGATCCTAAGTGTACTTGTAAGAAAAAATGTGCATGTGATGCTCTAAAAGTTGTTATGGAAAGGAAAAAACAAGATCAAGTGATGTAGTTTCTTGGAGGCTTGAATGAAACTTTTAGAAAAAATAACGAATTTAAATTTTAGATGAATGAAAATTAAATTTTTTTACAAAGAAAAAAATAAAAATTTGTTTATTTTATAGAGACCAAAAACAATGATTTCAAATTTTAAAAAGATAAAACAAAAAAAAACAAAAAAAATGTTTTACAAAAATTAAAATAAAATCTCACTCATTTCACTATGACTAAAAATATAGATTTTTCTCTAAATATTTCCTTATAAAATATGTTTTATAATTTTCAAAAATATTAATTAATTAACAAAATTGTTCATATTAATATAGAAAATTTTTATTTATTTATATATTTGATGAATGTTTCATTAATAGCATTATATGCTATATTGTTACTACGTCTCAAAACTCTGAATAAAAAATCAGAATATACTGAATTCCTATAACTATAAGTACTTGACATTGAGACCAACAATTAAGATCAACCCAACACACCAACATTTGCGAATTCAGCGTGAAAGTTGCATAATGGATTCAAATGCCAAAAGCCTTGAGCATGAAAGCAAAGTGGTTGTGATTTTGATACCTTTCCCTGCACAGGGCCATCTCAACCAGTTTATGCACCTCTCACGCCTAATCTTGTCACACAACATACCAGTCCATTATGTTAGCACTGCCACACACATTCGTCAGGCCATACTTCGTGACAACAACAACATTTTAAATATCCATTTCCATGGTTTCGAAGTTCCACCCTTTGTTTCCCATCCTCCCAACACCAACAATGTAGAAGCCAAATTCCCATCTCACACAGTTCCTTCCTTTAGGATTGATGTTTCTGCACATCTTCGTGAGCCTGTGAGGGAACTTGTTGAATCCTTCACATCTCAAGCCAAAAGGGTCATAGTCATTCATGACTCCGCCATGGCCTCAGTGGCACAAGATGCCACAAACATGCCAAATGTTGAAAACTACACTTTTCATTCCGTGTCCGCCTTTACCATCTCAACTTATGCTTGGGAGAAAATTGGAAAGCCCTCACGTGAAGGCTTGCATTTCCCGGAACTCCCTTCTCCAGAAGGATGCTTCACTACCCAGCTCACGGATTCCTTTATTGCAGAGACAGAATTCCTTAAATTGAGCGACGGTACAATCTACAACACAAGCAGGGTAATTGAAGGTGCTTACATGGAGTTCCTAGAGGGTATCAGTGGTGGCAAGAAGGTTTGGGCATTGGGGCCATTCAACCCTTTAGCCATTGAGAAGAAAGATTCAAAAGGAAGGCACTCATGCATGGAGTGGCTTGATAAACAAGAGCCAAATTCAGTTATATATGTGTCTTTTGGGACCACAACAACATTGACTGAGGAACAAATCGAGCGAATTGCAACTGGGTTGGAACGAAGCAAGCACAAGTTCATTTGGGTGCTAAGAGATGCTGATAAAGGAGACAACTTTGATGGAAGTGAAGCAAAAAGGCGTGAGCTTCCAAGTGGGTTTGAGGAGAGAGTTGAAGGCTTGGGGATAGTTGTGAGGGACTGGGCACCCCAATTGGAAATTTTGAGTCACACTTCAACAGGGGGGTTTATGAGTCATTGTGGATGGAACTCATGCTTAGAGAGTATAACTATGGGGGTGCCAATAGCTGCATGGCCTATGCACGCTGACCAACCAAGAAACACAGTTTTAGTGACACAGGTGCTCAAGGTTGGTTTGGTTGTGAGGGATTGGGCACAAAGGAATGCGTTGGTTCCTGCTTCAGTTGTTGAGAATTGTGTGAGAAGGTTGATGGGAACAAAGGAAGGTGATGAAATGCGAGAGAAAGCAGCGAGGCTTAAAACTGCCATCCATAGGTCCAAGGATGAAGGTGGAGTTTCTCCCAAGGAAATAGATTCTTTCATCGCTCATATCACTAAATAGTTTTATCCATTGATATTAGTTTGGTTACTAGTTGAATATGAAAAAATTCAACAATTCATGAAGTTTAAGCAAAATAAGTTTGGCATGAGAATACACACCTTTCTTGTTGATTCAAACATTACCGGGTAAAGTTTCAGGGATGAATGTATGCTCAAGTCTTTTTGCAACTTGAGATTGTGATTTGTAATTTTAAATTTTAAATTATTTTCAGCAATTAAAATGTTTTCAATCACATAACAATGTCTTTGTTGAAGATCATTGTTGAATTTGTGTACTAATTTTTTTTTGGCATACACTTGAATCTTCTCACTTTATTTAAATAAAAAAAAAAGTGCAAATAAAAATTAAGTTGTTTACAGAATTCAAAGTAAATATAATAAAATATAATAATAAGATGTAATATAAATTATATTGTATGATAAAAAAAAAAAACAAACATTTTTATTGATCAAAAGCATTTCAATACTCTTAATTTCATTATGATATTTTAATGCGGGTAATGTCCACAAATGAATAATACGAACTTTTAACTTGTAATTAGTATTTTCATGAGTAATGTCACATATAGAGACATTTTGTAAACCATTCTAAAAATAAGTAAAAAATATATAATATTAAATTTAAATATTTTAGTACATAAATTAACATTAAAATATAAATATAAATATAAATATAAATAAATATAAATATTGAAAATATAAATATTAAGGTTTAGACCTTATTGACAATGATACTATGAAGTGAATTAATGAATGATATGTTGACCTTCTTAGACTCAAATCAACCTCTCTCTCTTTATATATATATATATATATATATATATA